TCGTAAATCTTTATATGGCCTGAAGCAGTCTCCTCGGGCCTGGTTTAGTCGCTTCAGTTCCGTTGTTCAATCCTTCGGTTTAACCCGAAGTCAAGCGGATCATTCTGTCTTCTATCGGCATAGCTCTTCTAGCCAGTGCATCTATCTCCTGGTCTATGTTGATGACATCATTATTACTGGCAGCGATCAAGCTGGGATTGATCAGTTAAAGAAGTAAGTACTTATTCAATCAGTTTCAGACCAAAGATCTTGACAGACTTTGATATTTCTTAGGAATCGAAGTAGCACAGTCTAGGAAGGGCATTTCCATTTGTCAGAGGAAATATGCACTGGATATCTTAGATGAGACTGGTATGTTAGGGTGTAAACCCATTGATACACCTATGGATCCTAATATTAAGTTATTGCCTGGACAGGGGGAGCCATTGGCAGACCCTGGTCGTTACCGCCGACTAGTTGGAAAGTTGAACTATCTTACTGTGACAAGACCAGACATCTCTTTTTCAGTTAGTGTGGCAAGTCAATTCCTTGACTCTCCTTGTGACTCTCATTGGGATGCAGTTATCAGGATTCTTCGATATATCAAAAAAGCACCAGGAAGAGGTTTATTATACACTAATAAGGGGAGTGCAGAAGTTTCTAGCTATTCAGATGCTGACTGGGCAGGTTCTCCTTCAGACAGACGATCCACCTCCGGGTATTGTGTTCTCCTCGGAGGAAATTTGATCTCTTGGAAGAGTAAGAAGCAAACTGTGGCTGCCAGATCAAGTGCAGAGGCAGAATATCGGGCCATGGAAAATGCGACCTGTGAGCTCATCTAGCTAAAGCAATTGCTTAAGGAATTACATCTCTGTGAACAACGGCCCATGAAACTTATTTGTGACAATCAAGCCGCATTGCACATATCCTCTAACCCAGTCTTTCATGAGAGGACTAAACATATAGAAATTGACTGTCACTTTGTTAGAGAGAAGATTCAGTCAGGCGAGATCGAGACAGCATTTGTCAATTCCAGTGATTAACTTGCAGATGTTTTCACCAAAGCTCTTAGAGGTCCCCGAATAGATCATATATGTAACAAGCTGGGTGCTTATGATATATACGCACCAGCTTGAGGGGGAGTGTTAGAAATAATATTAGTTTTATTATTATTAGTTTATTATTCTAGAAGGTTATTTGGGCTTAGCCCATTAGGTCATTTAACCTCTTTAAATAGAGGACTCTTGTACAGCATTATTCACAACACAATACAATACAATACAATACATTCATTCTTTTCAAGTGTAACTACCAACCTCCTACTGTTGTTCCGGGAGATGACCTTGCCAACGTGCAAAGGGAAGCTTGCATGATTTCTTCCTCCACCAGCTCTACAGCAATATCTATAAGCCCTCAACCCAGTGTGCCATCTAGCCTTATGGCTAAACAAGGTACTGCGCTTCATGTTGATGGTAGTATTCGTTGGATACTTGACTCTGGGGCCTCGGATCACATGACAAGTAATCCCAACATTGTTTTGTTCCAATAATCCATGCAATGGGAATTCTCGGGTCAAAATAGCAAATGGAAGTTTTTCTCAAGTTGCAGGGAAAGGGTCAATTAAACTCTCCGAGAAGATTGTGTTAAATTTTGTCCTACATGTTCCTAATTTAGTATTACAATCTCATTTCTGTTAGTGAGCTGACAACAAAGCTTAGTTGTGTTGCAAAAATTTTGGTGCATGGTTGTGTTTTTCAGGAATAGGAATCAGATAGGACAATTAGCTATGCTAAAGAAGAAAGAGGACTCTACATTTTTTAGGGATCTGATCGTGTGGAGAATCAAGCAACTTTTGCTAAAAATGATCATTTCTTTGTTGGGCACCCAAATTTCAATTACCTTCAAAAATTATTACCAAATCTCTTTATCCATAAAAAAAACCCAGTGTCTTTTCTTGTGACATCTGTTAGTTAGCAAAAAACTCTCACGTATCCTATCCTATGAGGTAATATAAAGAATCATCTCCTTTTACTCTTGTTCACAGTGATATATGGGTCCATCTTGTATAAAAAATATTTCTAGCTCGATATGGTTTGCAACATTCATTGATGACCATTGTGTTGGGTCTTTCTTCTCAAAGAAAAGTCTGATACTATCCAAGTTTTCAAAAAAATTCATGCCATGGTTCAAAACCAATTTGGTTGGCACCTCCATAAAAATCCTTGGTGAATACTTGTCTCATCAAGGCATCCTCCATCAGAGTTCATGTCCTGATACTCCTCAACAGAATGGGGTAGCAAAGAGAAAGAATAGGCACACTCTTGAAGTTGGTCGTGCTCTTATGTTCACTATGAGTGTCCCTAAATATTTGTGGGGGGAAGCCATTCCAACTGCCACCTACCTTGTCAACTGAATGCCTTCCCGTGTCCTTCAGTTTCAGTCCCCACTATCATGTCTTTTAAAGAACTATCCATCTCTTAGTTCTATATATTCTCTTCCTCCAAAATTGTTCGGATGTGTTGTGTTTGTCCATGTTCTGTCACATCAACGATCCAAACTTGATCCTAAATCTCAAATGTGTCTTCATTGGATACTCTCCCACTCAAAAGGATATAAATGTTATTCTCCATCTCTCCGAAAGGTTTTTGTCTCCATGGATGTCACTTTTTTTGAGAGTCAATCTTTTTTTCTCAGTCTTCTTAGTGTCACCTCTTCCCCCATTGTTACCTCTTCCTTTATCCATCCCTTATCACAGGCCTCAACACAATTGGAAACAGGGGGAGATGAGCAATTGGAAAAAGGTGGAGACTATAATTAGTAGAAACAATTGTTGGTTTATAGTCGGAGACAGCCTCCTCAAAATGTAAATAATCCAGACTCTTTGCACTGTCAGGATTCCACTTTGGCTTCTAGTTCCAACAATCTGGATTCAACCCAACATGCCTATGAGGATTTGCATTTGCCAATTGCTCTTAGGAAAGGAACCAGGTCTTGTACTTCATATCCATCTCTTAATATGTCTTTTATGACACATTATCTCCCGGTTTTCGTGCCTTCAACACAGTCTTGGATAGTATAAAGATTCCAAAAAATATCCAAGAAGCCATTGATGATCCAAATTGGGAAGTTGGTTGTCTTTGAAGAAATGGATGCACTTAGAAAAAATGGAACTTGAGAGCATGTGGCATTACCCAGGGGAAAGAAAACAGTAGGTTGCAAGTGGGTGTTCACAATAAAATTCAATGCAGATAACAGCATCAACAAGTATAAGACCCTATTGGTTGATAAGGGATTCACTCAAACTCATGGGATAGATTATCAGGAGACAATTTACCCAATTGCCAAGCTTAACACTATCCGAGTTCTACTATTACTTGCTGCCAACCTTGATTGGCCCTTGCTACAATTAGATGTAAAGAATGCCTTCTTGAACGGTGATTTACATAAAGAAATTTATATGGATCCACCGCCTGGTTTTGAAAATGGAGACGGTTCAGCATGTAAGTTGAAAAAGTCTCTCTATGGGCTTAAACAATCCCCTAGAGAGTGGTTTGAGAAATTTACTCAAGTTGTTAAGGGAAGAGGATTCCTCCAAGCTCAGACTAATCACACTTTATTTTTTAAACACTTTGACGGAGGTAAAATTGTTATTCTCATTGTTTATATTGATGACATAATTGTCACAGGTAATGATTGTGAGGAGATAAGCTCTTTGAAGAAGTGTTTAGCTGACTAGGTTGAACTGAAAGATCTTGGATCTCTCAAATATTTTCTTGGCATGGAGGTTGCTCGTAGTAAGGCAGGAATTTCCTTATCGGAAAAAATATATTCTAGCCCTGTTGCAAGAGACAAGAATGCTTGGATGCAAGCCAGCAGAGACTCCAGTTGAACACAATATTAAATCGGGAATCGAAGATGGGAAAGAAGTTGGTAGAGAGCAGTACCAGAGGTTGGTGGGGAAGTTGATCTTCTAATCTTACCCTCGACCTGATATTGCATTTGCAGTCAGCATGGTTAGTCAATTCATGCATTTTCCTAAGGAAAAACACCCGAGTGCAATTTATAGAATCCTTAAGTACCTCAAAAACACCCCTGGTCGAGGATTGTTCTTTAAAAAGGGACAAAAGAGGATGATTGAAATATATACAAATGCAAATTGGGCTGGCTCTGCATTGGACCGAAGATCCACTTTAGGATATTGTACCTATGTCTGGGGAAATCTTGTGACCTGGACATGTAAGAAACAAACAGTTGTTTGGACCGAAGATCCACTTCAGGATATTGTACCTATGTTTAGGGAAATCTTGTGACCTGGAGAAGTAAGAAACAAATAGTTGTTTTCTGAAGTAGTGCAGAAGTAGAATTTCGAGCTCTAGCCCATGATATTTGTGAAAGAATTCAGTTAAGAAAACTCCTTGAGGAATTGAAGATCTCTTTTTCCCTACCTGTCAGAGTGTATTATAATAAGGTTGCTGTCAGTATTGCTCAAAATCCAGTTTACCATGACAGAACAAAACATGTGGAGGTTGATCGCCACTTTATCAAAAAAAAATTAAATGATGGAAGTGTGTGTATGATGTATATTCCGACCAAAAGGCAAACTGCAGATATCCTCACTAATGGCCTACACCGACCATCCTTTGAAGACCTAATTGGCAAGTTGGGAATGATCAACATTTACCTCCCATATTGAGGGGAAGTGTAGGAAATTAGGATTAGAATCTTTCCGCTTTTATTTCCTATTAATTAGTGATTAGATAGGATAGGGCTGATGACTCAGCAATGAGTCATTCTTATCTATTTTATTTTTATTTTATTTTTTACTCTTGTATATATACCCTTATCAGTGTGTATCAATTCAAAAAAAACCATTTTTTCATATTTCAACAGAATTTCTATATGAGGACAAATCATAAATTAAAGCAAAAGACAAACTCAGATAAGTAGAATGTAATAAGAAATGAACAATCATTATGATTAAAAAGTCAGATAATCTAAAACTAAGAGTAATTTGAAACAACCTCAAATCATGGCTGACAACAAGCACAGTTAATTCTTTTTTTAGATGCTTCAAAAGCTTCACAACATCTGCGCGTGCTTTCCAATCTGACCAGTTGGTAAGTATTAGATACAGCTTTAAAAAAATATACTTTAGTTCAAAAAAAAAAAAAAAAAAACCTTCAAATTAAAGTAACTATTAAACATGCCCCCACGCCTTAGCTCAAGTGGCACCAAATCCTTTTGGGGATTACTTGATCCCATGATCGGATTCTACTGATGCTACTTTGCCTCTATTCTAGCCTCTTCTCCCCGCCTCACACTACTCTTTAGAACTCCTTCGTAAAAAATTAAAATAAAAGCATAACAAGTCATGGTCCTCAACGAAAATCATAGCAGAGACGGTTTATACAGAATTCAATACGTTGGGTAGGAAGAGGTAATTGAACATGATAGTTAAAACAAAATGACAAAGAAGCAGGGGGCTTCCGAACCCTTTAAAATTTTCCGAATGAAATACTGGCCTTCATTTATTACTGTTAAAATTATCGAGATTTGACGTAAAAGAGAGAAGATAAAAAGTACTATTAGAGTGATGATATATGACATGATACAAAACAATAACTTGTCAACTATTTATACCAATATTGTAAGTCAAGTGCTAGTTTAGTACAATTAGTACAAGGCTACAAGCCAAGACATAATAAGATTTCCTAAACTATAAGAACCCTAATAAGTAATAACAATGGCATATACAAATTTTTTTTATGTTCTTAAAATTCAAAATTGAAGCAAAAGCTGGATTTTAGTAAGATTTAGGGTCCGTTTGTTTAAGCTTTTAAAAAAGTTCTTTTATAACATTTTTTAAAGATTATTTTTAGAAGCTACTACTTTTAGCTTCTGCAAAACACACTAAAACACACATAAAAAAACTTGAATTTAATAATAAGGATTTGTAATATTGAATTGTTTAGTACTATTGGCTTGAGGTCAGATAACATGGTATCAGAGCCTTGGTGTACCGGGTTCGATCCTCATCGCCCCCACTTTCTTTCTAGTGGAATTTCTTTCTTCTCACAGGTAGGTGGGCCTGTGCATTGTCCACTCTTCAAGCCCAATGGGCTCTCGTGTGAGGGGGCGTGTTGAGATATATAAAATCATTAATGTAGCCTCACCCAGGAGCTTAAGCTCTAGGTTGAATTGGTTCTTTACTAAAAATAAAATGTATTTTTTAATTGAAAAAGAGCTTTTTTCTTAAAAAAATACAAACAAACAGACCCTTAATTGAAGCCTTTTCATTCAGCAAGTTCATCAAGTGCAATGACGAACAGCAAAGCAGAATAAAAAAGTCACAGGTTGCATTTCTATACCAAGTCCAGCAAGAGGCTCATCCAATATCAATAAATCAGGGATTTGCACCTGAAAAATACATTAAAATAAATAAATAAATTAAGCCAATTAGTCCTTGGTTGACTGACAGCCAAAATTTAGTAAATGGGATTGCATCACCTATTCAGGAACCAATCAGGTGAAGGCATGAAGCAATAACAAGCAGGCATGTCTATATAAAATAAAATAAAATAAAAAAATCTTACTAATTGTATTGCCAAAGCAAGTCGACGTTTGTAACCACCACTGAGGGAGTGAGGATTTTTATCCAATGGTATTCCATTTAATCCAACCTAGAGTGATGAATAAGAAAGAACATTGCATATGAAATATATAAATCAATTAGTTAAATAATATAATGAGTATAAATAAACATACAAATGATATTGAAAATATATATAGTATAAGAAGACACTCTGTAATATACAGAGGCATAACTACCCAGTTAATTGCCCTTTGTAGCCCTAGAGCAAGATTCTCCCTTAATTGATAGCTATGCTTTTGCCTTGGCCACCCAAAAGTGACCTCATCAAGCACATTATCAGCCACAAAATACCTAGGTTTCAACACCAATATGTTTAGAACTTCAGAAATAAAAATGCAATACAAATGAAAAATGATCAGACAAGATTTACAAATTGCTAATGGAAACAATTAGACAATTCAACAACATACCGCTCTGACAAAAGGATAAAAACAGATTTGATTTAGTATCATGAGACATATAAAAAAGCATTTAGACAGTGTATTTTGCCATGAATATTTTGATAATAAGATCAATAGAATTATCCTTCAAAGTTCAAAAGATTTCGAAGACCACAAAGAAACTAATGACCGATGAAAAGCTCTATCTCTAATCCTACAAAGGTGTCAAGCTGCCTTTTGGACAAGTGGCTGAAACAGAGATATGAGTAACATTCTCATTTACATGTCAGACAATGATATAATACATTTTTCTGTATTAAAAGAAATATTATTCGAAAGGAAAAAAGAAGATGGTGAGCCAGTAAGGTTTCTTCCTTTTGTCCTACTCTGTGCAAAGGGATAAGCCTGCATAAAGCTGACCCTCCCCAGATCCAACAATGGTTGGATCCTCATGAATTGACCGACCATTTAAAAAGGCAAATAGAAAGACAAGACATATGGAAAATAAGAAATTATCCAAAATAGACTAGACAAGGACATAATACAAAGGAAATAAAGAAAATAAATAAATGGAAGGTTCTCTATTCCCTCTGCAAATTTGAAAAGGAAATTTTAAGAGAAAATCCATGTGTCAAACACCGAAAAAAAAAAACATTGAAAAACAACCCTCTCTCATTACAAAGACACAGAAACTTGTTTTAAAGCAAAGACAAAGCATAAACAGTAACTCTCCATAAAACATTTCCCTCTTTGATCCTTCCAAATCCACAAAATAATCAACAGAAATTGAACAAAATTCTCCACAGGCATATTCATTCATCAATACAATGAAAAATTATTTTGGTACTCATTTTAACATCTTGGTTGATATGTAAGTAATATATAATATGAGTTATTATTGTCATCATGTTATGTGCGAGTCTCTTCCATGTGGACACTGTACAGACTTATTTTTGGGAAATTGGTCTGTACAACGTCCATGTCTATGCTGTATTGCTTCCTGTATTTATGTCTATTCTTCTTGAATTGAGCCATATTAAATTTGTAGGGATCCCAACGAGTGAAACAATGTAGTTGATGCAGCTCAAGTTTTACAACATAAGATTAAAACAAACACAAGTCACAAATTAACAAAATCTCTTGCTATCATCACTTAGTTTATATTTGTACCTCTCAGGAAACTGGAAGACAATACCAACCCTTTCTGACACCAAGGGCTCGGGAGATCCACTAGGACTTCCATCATTCCCATATTTTTGGGTGTAAATAGATCCAGAGGTTGGTTTGCTTATTCCTGCAAGAAGCTAAATGGACAGAAGGGAGGTTATTGGAGGAGGAGTGATGATAATTATACAAATAGGAAAGTAACATGAATGATCATGAAACCAGATTCACTAAAGTAAGGGGAAAAAAAAAGACCTGCAAGAGAGTTGTTTTTCCGCTTCCACTCTGTCCGAAAATTAGACCAAAACTGTGGAAATTGACAGAAATAAGCTCCTACAATTACACAAAAATCCTTTTTCTTTTCTAGAAAAAGTAAAACGCCTAGCAAATATATGTTAAATTGTGTTACCAGGAAATTAGCTCAAGTGATTTTAAGAGGGAAGTCGAGGAGGTACACTAGCAAGACGCATATATCTTATTAGCTACAAATGATGATCTAAGATTCACCCAATCCCCTAACAGGAAGTTCTACCTCTTTTAAATTACATACAACCATGCAAGTGAAGATTAAAGAAAGGTGGGAAAAAAAAAACTTGGTAAATACATTATTGTGGAAATTCATATTCAAGATCAGTTATAACTTACAAGGATATCTACACATCCCAAACTCATCCTGAAGTTAATAATATGATGACTATAGACACAGACAAGTACCTTTTTTCCGGAAGTGAAAAACTAACTGAATTTAGAAGTCTGAGCTGAGTCCCGGGGGGTTGATAGCTAACATCTCTAACCTAAAGAAAAAAAGATAACACGTATTTCAATACATGCATTCCTGCAATGTCCCTATTAATGCATATATAAGCTACGAAAAGGAATTAAGAAAGTGGTTAAGTGTGAAACAAGACCTCTTCAATCTTAATCTTCATGTTGAATGCATTATAAAAGAAATCAAAATAATCAAAAATCAAAAGTTAACGGATGCTCGAACTTAGAGAATTTTACTTTCAATCGTTGAGATGGTTATTGCTCAAACGAAATAAAGGTGCTATCGTAACTCGACAAGAGCGTACTTCGAAAGAGGAGTACGCGCAGTTGATTCTGAGAAGCTGAGTTGTTGGAAACTTGAACCTGCAATCACGAATAAGAAGGTCAGGGATAGCGACGCTGAATTTAGCTTACCACAAAATGCGACTGAGGAACACACGATACGGTGGTTGCGGCGGAAAGCGGTGGTGGTTTGAGGAAGCGCAACCCAATCGGTGGTTTTAAAGAGGTGGCCATAGACGGTGGCTCAAGGGGCCCCGAGATTCGGGGTCGTAAGGTTATGACACCTGGGTTCTGGATTCTTGTCCCTTTCGTTCCGTTTTCGGCCAGTGCTATGGGGAAAAAACTCATATATTTTAACAATTTTATTTCCTACGTATACAAGATAAGTTTTTTTTTTCTTTTTTTTTATCCTTCCCTGTCATGGATATTATGACAACCAAGTTGTGTTACTACCAAGTGACTACCAATTAATTTCACCGTTAGATCGATTATGTTGATCCAACGATTATATTTTATTTCCATCTTTGTATGGTCATGATTCCATATATTTAAAGTGAAAGCATTAAATATGAGAAATTATAACCATACAAAGGTGAAAATGAATATAACGTATTAAATTTGGGGAATCATGACCATACCAAGATGGAAAAAAATATAACCGTTGGATCAATATAATCGATCTAACGGTAAAATTGATTGGTAGTCACTTGATAGTAACACAACTTGGTTGTCACAATTAGGGGTGTTAACGAGCCGAGCCGAGCCGAGCTTTGGTCTTAACGGGTCGAACCTGTGTTCAAATGTGTCAGACTGACCTTAGCCTGTTACTTGTTACGAATATAATATCAGCATGTGGCTGGCTCATTTACAAAAAATAAAAGCATTGTTTAGCCTGTTAGCCTGTTTAAAAAAAATTAATACAACAAAAATTTATCCCAACAAAATATACAATTAACAACACTAGTAATTCTATAAATATTCATAAATTTAATGTATATCCAAATAGCATAATATAAAACAAAATTATTTAAAAAGTCTGTTTAATTAATAAAATGGGATGAAATGAATTGAGAAGAGAGAGAGAGAGGCTATCACAAGTAGTATAAAAAATAAAAAAATAATATATTAGGCAAGCCTGAGAGACTCTAAGGTCGAGCTTTTGAATTGGAGCCTGAGGCCTTTTTATTAAACGAGTTTTTATACAAGTTCAAGCATGGGTCCAACAATCAATTTTAGACATGTAAGTTCAGACCTACACGAGCCGAGTCAAAGGCCCCTATAAGGCCCCTGGCTCATTTAGCACCCCTAGTCACAATATCCTTCGCCCATAATCTTAACTACATTTATCATTTTTCTCTTTTATTGAGATTATGCTCTAATAATGTTAGAAAATGGTAGACACAAAAAATAGATATAAAAAAGTGTACGAGAGTCTTGTGAATCATGTGACGTGGAGAGAGAATAAAAGAAAATTATGAATATAATATATTTACTTACTTTTATATATGTGTTGGAGATTTTTTTATTTTTTTTTTGAGATTACAAGGAATTGAGGAGATAAAATTATTTCATACAATATGATAAATACTAATCTTATTTATTTATATAATTATTGGAACTCTTATTATTAATATTTAGATTATCTAAAATAAATTTCATTTATTTATTCATCTAATAATTTAGATTTTATGTTGATAAAATATCTTAAAATTTAATATTCATATTACATCAAAAGTAAAACAAATTGTAAAAAAAAAAGTCACTGGGATTGATATAATGATAAGAGATTTGACTAGTTTGTATTAGTTATATCTTCAATTCTTATCTATGTATCCAAAAAAAAAATTGATGTATCATTTATTAATTAAAAATTGCTATATAAAAATATTTTAGATCAAACTCCTGACTATTTACATTTTTAGTTTATACATACCCTTATAGTTATTTTATTATTTTACTTTTGCGTTAAAATCAATTAGAATATTCTTATAACCAAAAGGAAAAATAAAATATAAAAAATGGAAAAAGGAGTTACAGAAATAATTATTTGGTGTATTAAATTATAAATTAGAAACATAAGACGTTATATCTATCTACTTGAAAAAATAATAACAAATTCCTTAATGCGATACCAATTTATTTTAAGGTTGTAAATTATATTAATTATTTTCTTAAAGATCATTACTTAAATTCTTGAAAGAATAATTTATATTTTATCTTTCATATATTACAAAAATTAAACTTGATAAAATTACTTTTCATATTCAAACGTGTCATATGTGATTCAACAATAGAATTTAAGAAAAAAGTTATCTGAAAAATATTTTTTCACATATTTATATTCGTGGAAAAGCATGTAATGAAATTTTTAGATGCCTTCACAAGCCGAGCCAAAGACCCCTGGTTCGTTTAGCACCCCTACCTTTAAAGGACTAAGAAATACATGCTTATGTACAGACGGACTGACAACTGGGAAGTAATTGGCTACTCAGATTCATACTACGCTAGTTGCATTTATTCCAGAAAATTCACTCCAGGATATATTTTCATGTTAGCTAGTGGAGCTGTGTCTTGGAGAAGTGTCAAGCAGATCTTGACTGCTACATCCATTATGGAGGTTGAGTTCATTTCTTGTTTTGAGACTACCTCACATGGTGTATAGATGAGGAGTTTCGTTTATTGTCTTAGAATTAAGGATTCTATTTCTAGGCCATTAAAGATATTTTGTGATAATTTAGCTGCTGTTTTTATGGCTAAGAATAACAAAAGTGGTAGTCGAAGCAAACATATCGACATTAAATATCTAGCCATAAGAGAACGTGTTAAAGATAAATCAATGGTTATTGAACACATTAGCATTGAATTAATGATTGTTGATCCTTCAACTAAGGGCAAGCCACCAGTTAAATTTAAGGATTATTAGAAGGTAAAAGAGAGTAAAGAGAAAATATTGATTTCATTGATTGTGGTGATTAATTTGTAGAGATGAGACTCTTATATAGAAGAGCATAACAGAAAAGAGAAAGATCTAGAATATCATTGAAATACTAAACTACCCTTATACCTAATATCTAATACTCCCCCTCAAGATGGAGAGTGAACAAAGAGAACTTCCATCTTGAACAAGAAAAATCAAGAAAACATAATAACCAAATAACATGAGCATCAGCCAATAAAGAAATAGTGCTCGAATGGACATCAACTATAATGTGCTGGGATGGACATCAGCAAAGGAAGGAAGGGCTGGGATGGACGTCAGCAACCTAATATGAACTGCCGGGATGGACATCGGCAAAATCAACTGTTCTAAAATGAAATTCAGCAAAATGATCAATGCTCCCCCTGAATAAGAAGCCAAAATAAAGCCAAAACAATGGCAGAAATAAACCAAATACAAGCCAAATCAGACTTGAATAACACCACAAACATATGTGGGAATAAAATCAAAGTGGCCAAATACAAGCCAGAAAACAAAAAAATCAAAAAATAAAATCACTCATCCAAATAACTTCAATGGAGACTTTGGTCGAACACTTGGTGCACAGAAGGCACTCATCCAAAAAAATAGAACCAATCAGCCCCAAAAATCCATTAGCAACATGAGAAGAACTAAAATAAGAAATCATATCTGATGTAAAGGTGGATAAAGAAAAAGAACGAGTGAGATATGGTCAAAAAGAAAAAAAAAACGATGTTAAAGATGGTTACAGAAACACCAGCAGAAGCCAACTCCACAGTGCCGAGTCGACCAATGTAAGCAGTTTCCATCAACTGTGCCAAGGGATGGGGATTGAAGGTAGGACCTAAGAGATGGCTAAACATAAGGGGTACTAGCTAAAGAATGGTTACGAGATGAAGACTGCGAAGACGAACGACTGAGACCTGAACCAGATTTGGTTCCGCCGAACAGGAACATGAACTCAAACAGCAAGCACGATGGTCCAAAAAAAAAAATGGAGACGAAGGACAGCAAGGTAGTGACTTGCTCACGAACCAAAAATAGAAGAAGAAAGAAAAAAAATCTGGAAAATATTAGACACATATTGCGAAGTAAGAAGGTGACTCGCAGATCTGGAAAATATTGTAAGGAGACTGAACAACCACCATCAAAGGCGGAGAACAACCGCGAAAATCGACGGCGGTAAAGCACCGGAGAAGAAGGGCCAAGACTGTGGGACGAGACGCACCGATGATAGACATAAACTCCTAAAAAAAGAGTGAAGGAGAGGAAGGAGAACACAGATAACGATTCGATCTGGAAGAAAATAAAATTCTAATGATAAAAAAAAGTTCATAGATCTGGATCAGATCCAGAAGAAAGGAAAGAAAGAAAAAAAAATAGTGATCGCAGCGGAATCTCCATTCATGGAGGATAAAAATGCTCTGATACCATATTAGAAGGTAAAAGAGAGTAAAGAGAAAATATTGATTTCATTGATTGTGGTGATTAATTTGTACAGATGAGGATCTTATATAGAAGAGCATAACAGAAAAGAGAAAGATCTAGAATATCATTGAAATACTAAACTACCCTTATACCTAATATCTAATTGTGGTGATTAATTTGTACAGATGAGGCTCTTATATAGAAGAGCATAACAGAAAAGAGAAAGATCTAGAATATCATTGAAAATACTAAACTACCCTTATACCTAATATCTAATAAGGATCATGTAGAAAGGATGGGGCTTGGTTCCCGTATGTGATTTTCATTGTAAGAATGATATTATATTAATGAAACTCTATTTGTGATGTTTCTTATTCAGATTATGCACATTTAAGTTAATTATTATGAGAAATATCAATAAAGTTTGGACTAAGAATAAACATTGGGTTTATTCATTAAGTTATATGGACTTGAGAAATATAATATAATGCAATACATGGAAGATAATACTCGCACAAATTAGAGAACTTATCGCCATGATTCATATATTTTGTTTCTCATGGTATATATGGACCAAGTGGGAGAATGTTAGTAAAAATGTTAGTGGTTAGTGGGGTGACCTGGTGTAACCTTATGTGGTCCACCTATGTTGTTCACTACTGATAATAGAGAACTGTATATGGTCCACTTATTGCTCACTTATTGTAGTGGTTAAATGTAACACCCCGTATATATCTGGTTTGTTAACATGTCATCATATTAAGCCACGCTTAATTAAAATGCAGAATATCTTTTTCTTTTCATTCAATTATGACATCATTAAACTTAGCCAAGTTGATTACTTAATCGTTTTCATAAAAACATCGCCTGTATGTAAATTGTAGAAGACATCTAACTGAAATACCTCAATATATTAAAACAGTGAGTATC